AAGTTAAACTGGGTTTCTTTTTCAGAAACAGATCCTGTCTAACCCTGAATGTTAGGAAACACCTTGTATCTGTGACTTTCCTTCCCTCCATCGATTACGGTGACATTATTTACATGAACGCTCCTACAAGAACCCTGCAGATGTTGGATGCTGCAGATGTTGGATGCTGTCTATCATGGTGCACTAAGATTCATAACTGGCTGTGACTACTGTACCCACCACTGCACCCAGTATACACTGGTTAACTGGACATCATTAACTTCACGCAGACTCTCTCACTGGTACATTTTCATCTTTAAATCACTTCCTGGTCTGCTGCCTTCATACATCTCCTCCTACATGTCTCTGCGTGAGTGCAGCTACAGCGTGCGATCTCAGGACATTATTACCTGCAGTGTTCCCTCAATGAGGACTGAACTAGGCAAAAGGGCCTTCTCCTACTCAGCTCCTGTTTCCTGGAACATCTTGTAAAAAGATCTGAAGCTCTCGACCTTTGACCTCTCTAAGTGTCTTTAAGAATCTGTTGGACTCCTGGCAGGGACCGATGCAGACATGTTCCTGTTTTTAGTTTTCTACATTCGCCTTAGAATCTAGCTGTTTTTTTGTTACCTTTTTCTTTTAGCCATCCTATTTGTTAAAAAACAACAACAAAAAAAACTAGTATGACTTTTTATAATTGTTTATTGTTGTTGCTGTTGTCCATTGTTGTCATCATTCTTTGTTAAATCAGGTCTCTCTTGTAAATGAGTCCTCGAGGCTCAATGGGATTTACCTGTCTAAATAAAGGTTGAATGAAAAAAAAAAACTGTCCGAGTATCACCTGATGTCAACTACTAGAGTACTATGATGCTAACTGCCTGATTATTCTGGACTGTTACAGGAGAGCTGAGCTGCTTCTTGTGCACAAACTATGCTGGGTTTGTCCACTGGGCGGAGCTTCCTGAGCCGAGCTCACGTCGTAATGTACGCCACTCGTCTCTACAGCACCACAGGGACTGGAGGAGGTGGTGAGGTCAAACCGGGGCGGAGGGTAGGGCTAGCTGCGCTTGAGGCTCCTCCTTCCCATCTCCCACATCATCCTCACCCAGTGCCACCTCCTCCACCCTCCTACCAGCTGTACCAGGGTCGACCCGATCCCCATCGAGGAACACATTTCCATCACTACCACCCGTCGCCCCATCATCTTGCTCCACCTCCTTTCCCTCCACATTTCCATGCTCCCATCTATACCTACGGAGGAGGTGGAGCTCCAGTCAGCAACTGTGGCGGCAGGAAAAAGACTTGGAACTTTATTCATGAGAAGATGAGCTACGACACATTCTTTACCATGAAGCGTCTGATTGAGCGCTCGCGGCGCCCTGATGAGGTGCTGCGCTGGATCACTCAGAACCCCGCCAAGATCTCCCACAACCACTACCCCGTGGCTCTGCAGAAGATTGGACAACTGCTGCAGGCCACATCCCTACACACTGCTAGAAGTGCCGTTGAAGGCAATGCCTCTGGGGGCACAGCTACAGTGGGAGACAGGCGGCAAATCCTAGAGCATCCAGACTTCCAGACACTTTGCAACGCCATCGTCAACGGCTGCACCAAATTTGACAACTTCAGTATCGTGAACTGCCTGTACGCTGTGGCTGCGTTAGGTGAGTTTGCACGCCGCTCACAGAGTCCGTCCCAGGCTCTGACATCACTCTCAGCCTTATAATCTACCCCCAGGCCTCTCCAGCGACTCCCAGGTGGTTCAGGTGCTGGAGGCAGAGTCACAGTCCAGACTGAACCAGTTCAACCAGAAGGATGTGTCAATGGTGTTCAGCTCCAGCATGAAGCTACACCCATGCAGCCAGCACCCGCTGACTGAAGCTTGCCTCACCAGCTTGGAGAAGAACCTTGAGCGAGAGCGTCACCCTCAGACCCTGTTCCTGCTCCTGTCTTACTACAGACTGAAGTGGCACTCGCTGCAGCCACCAAAATCCAATTCTGAAGGGCCAGCAGCAAACAGCAGTGCCAGCACAGCTACAAACCCCGAACAGCTGCTGGCTAACAGGTGAGACATCCAGGTGTCCCTGGACCTCAGATATTCAGGCTTACTGAGGACTCTGGACATGAAGGACTCTACTGTTTTGGTTCTGTCCTCAGGAAGATCCTGCGGCTGGTCAAACACACTTTGGCTAGCGTCAGTGGCGTTCGTGACCAGGAGATGGCACTGCTGGACGAGATGCTCTCGGCGTGCGCTCGTGAGGCAAATAACAAGAGTCTGGAGCTAATATTCAGTTCCCACCTGTTCTACCAGAACAGACAGGAGAGATTCATCAGCAGCCTGGCAGGTAAGCCTCACTTGTGGAATGGGGCCACCCTTTCTGTTCTAACAACCTGACGGTGCTTCTCCTGTCCCATCAGAGGAGTTACCGAAGAAGGCGGACAGCATCACGCCATACACCATGGCTCTGATTGCTAAATACATCGCTCGCCATCGGCTCAGAGAGACACGGCTGCTAGACACCATTGCAGACTTTCTGGTGAAGAAGGCTGAGTATCTAGACAGCAAGGTGAGAGCGAGCATGAGGGTGGGAGATGTGGGCGGGGCTTGCATACAGAAGCTGTAGGTGTGTTTGGTTTTATGTCCTCAGGTGATCCAGAAGTTGGTGTTCCCGTTCAGCAGGATGAGTTACAGCCCGTCCAACGAGCAGCAGTTTTTCTCTCGACTGGAAGAGGTTGTGGAGCTGAAGGCGCTCAGCTCGCCGCTCGCCACCGTCAACATCCTGATGTCCCTCTTCCAGCTGGGACATTTTCCTGGGACAGTCCTACCCAGAGTCTTCTCCTCCGCCTTCATCAGCAACGTGACCAGTCAGTGTCCTCAAACTGCAGAGACAGAGGAAGACAGACAGGGAGAGAGGCAGGAAGACGAGGGAGAGACAGGAAGAGGGACAGGGAGAGAGACGGGGAGAGAAACAAGAAGACAGGGAGAGATGCAGGAAGACAGGGATAAAAGACAAAGGACGAAAGACACACGACAAGACAGGCACAAATGCAGACAGAGAGAGAAACGGGAAGTAATATAGTAGTAGTCCAATCAGCTGATCTTGTATAAGCTGTCCCCGTCCTCTCTGTCCTCAGACAGTCCCTACGCTCTGATCGTCAGGAGGTATTTGTCTCTGCTCGATGCTGCAATAGAGTTGGAGTACTGCGACTACACCGGACCTCGCCTGCAGGACGCCCACAAGGTGCTGATGTTTGACCACGCCCTCACAGCAGACGAGGTCAACCGCAAGTACAGGTAACAGTTGTGGACAGGTGAGACACATCATCCCACTGCATTGTTAATATTCATTCAACCTTTATTTATCCAGGTTAGTCTTACTGAATCACGATGACTCATTTACAGGAAAGACCTGTTTTAGACAGTCAACATATAAAATACGTACAAAAATCTTTTCTTCTTCTTTCGGCTGCTCCCTTCGTCAGGGGTCGCCACAGCGAACTAAGTCGCACGAAGACTTGGCAGTTATTTTTACGCCGGATGTTCTTCCTGACGCAACCACAGACCACCGAGCTACCACAGCCTCTGTGTGGAGCAGAGAGCTGCTATCTAGGACACCCAGGGAAAGTACAGACAAAAATAATTTAACAAAAAGCAATTTGAAACCAAATAAGGGTAGTTATTAAAACAGTCAGATCAAGGTGCCATATACAACAAAGTAAAATACTAAAAACAACATAGTTGCTTTGATGCTTGTATTGACATTATCAAATGTTTAAAATCCCCTAAAGAAATTAAGGAGGACAGCCTCAGTTCATGTTGCAAGGTGTGCCAGGAAACAGGAGCGGAGTAGGAGAAGGCCCTTTTGCATAGTTCAGTCCTCACTGAGGGAACACTGCAGGTAATGATGTCCTGAGAGCGCACGCTGTAGCTGCACTCACACAGAGACATGTAGGAGGAGATGTATGAAGGCAGCAGACCAGGAAGTGATTTAAAGATGAAAATATACCAGTGGGAGAGTCTGTGTGAAGTTAATGGTGACCAGTTAACCAGTGAATACTGGGTGCAGTGGTGGGTACGATAATCACAGCCAGTTATGAATCTTAGTGCACCGTGATAGACAGCATCCAACATCTGCAGCATCCAACATCTGCAGGGTTCTTGTAGGAGCGTTCATGTAAATAATGTCACTGTAATCAATGGAGGGAAGGAAAGTCACAGATACAAGTATCCTGATGCATGCTCAATAATCCAGGTAGAAAAATCTAAAAAAGTTAAATCTGGTCCTCTGGACATTCAAAAAAACCCAAAACAAAGCAAAACAACAAAAAATGTAGAAACGTTTCGTCTCTCGTCCGAGAGACTTCTTCAGTCTGAGGTGATAGATACAAGGTGTTTCCTAGCATTCAAAGTTAGACAGGATCTGTTTCTGAAAAAGAAACCCAGTTTAACTTTCAGTTTTCTTATTAGGTTTGCCACATGAAGCTTTAAAGAGAGATGTGAGTCGACCAAGATACTCAAATATTTATAAGAATCAACAAACTCAATAGAAGCACCATTCGAAAATAAAATAGAAGGAACGACTGCTGGGACCAACTTCCTGTTTGAAAACAGCATCCCCTTGGTTTTACCAGCATTTAGCCCCAGTTTGACACGGAACAAAGCAGACTGGATGATGTTGAATGCAGACTTTAAAAGCTGGAAAACCTTAGCAACTGTTTTAGCTCGACAAACAACTGTGTCGTCGGCATAGAGATGGAAGGATGCATCAGGAATGATCTGACTTGTATTAAAGTAATTCCTCGCTACTTCGCAGTTCGACTTTTGTGTACTCGCTCTTTCACAGTTTTTCAACGTAAAATGGTACGACACACGATTGTCAACTTTAATATTACTTGTGAATGGGACGGTACGGATAAAAAAAAATAACTAAAAAAACTTTGGACAGGTGCCACTAGGGCTGGGCCATATTATATCGTTCACAATAATACCGGTTAAAAAAAAAACTTGCCCGGGAAAATAAATGATATCATGATATGCTAATTTCATGACGTAATACGTCAGGGCGCCCCACCCCGTTAACAAAACCAAGCGTGCCGAACGATCAAACTGCGCGCGCCCCCCCCCCCCCCCCCCATCTGTCGTTACTGGCATAACGCTAACTAGTTGCGCGCAATACTAGCTAGCTAAAAAGCTAACAACAAACACTGCGCGGCTCAGCTGTCTCTCCACCCAGCTCTAAACTGCAGGTACAGACAACTCAACTGTCTCTCCCTCCCCCGCACCCCTCTCTGAGCTGCTGGTACAAATGCAACTCGTCTTTTTCTCTCTCCCCATCCCGCTCTGAGCTGCCGGTGCGGGCACGGTTCGGATGCGTCTCCCCCGCACTAAACTGCCAGTACAAACCATACCATACCATTTTATTTATAGAGAAACACGTGCAACTCAACAGTGTCTCTTGAGTTCTACAGTCGGTCCATCCATGGAGCAAGAACAGAGTCAGGTGATCAGAGACAGAGCATCAGAGAAATGAATGATTCCTGCAGGAACAGATGAAACACCACAAGCTTCAGGGTCAGATGATCACCTTGTTACAACTTTGGGGAGCTGTGGCTGAGTGGTTAGAGCAGTCGTCCTCCAATGCGAGAGTTGGGGGTTCGAATCCACCAGTGGTCGCATGCCGAAGTGTCCCTGGGCAAGACACCGAACCCCTCATAGCCTCTGATGTGTGTCCCATCAGTGTATGACTGTGATCTTAAGCACTGATTAGTCTCATTAGAATGATTTGTTCATTTAGCTTTGTAGAGATCTAGTGCTGTGTGGATGGGTAAATGAGGCACAGATTGTAGTGTAAGGAGCTTTGAGTGTCTTGAAATAAGATAGAAAAGCGCTATATAAGTACAGTCTATTTACCATTTACTTCTGGAAGTTATAGCTCATTTAAAGAAACATATATCTTGTTACATTTATGATCAACAGATCTTAAGATTAATTTTATTGAGTTATTTTGGGAAACTTCACCTGCACTTTAGTTTTTGTGCATGGTGGATTTATTGATCTTTATTTTGTGCAGACTTTCTCAGTCTAAATAACAGAAGGATCATTTTTATTTTTTATTTTTGTACTTGGAGACTGAATACTTTACTAAATAAAGTATTTTCAGTAAAATTAACCCTTGTTATTTATTTTTATTTTTATATAATACTGCAAAGCAACGTGTTAAGTTAATTTTGTCAAATGAATAACTATGAGCCGGAAAAGGGTAGAGTGCCCTCTCCGGGTCAGGGAGGAGGTCCTGCCCCAAGTGGAGGAGTTCAAGTATCTTGGGGTCTTGTTCACGAATGAGGGAAAAATGGAGTGTGAGATCGATAGATGGATAGGTGCAGCGTCTTCAGTGAAGCGGGTGCTGTACCGGTCTGTCGTGGTGAAGAGAGAGCGGAGTCAAAAGGCGAAGCTCTCAATTTACTGATCGATCTACGTTCCTACCCTCATCTATGGTCACGAGCTTTGGGTTGTGACCGAAAGAATGAGATCTCGGATACAAGCGGCCGAAATGAGTTTTCTCCGCAGGGTGTCTGGGCTCTCCCTTAAAGATAGGGTGAGAAGCTCGATCATCCGGGAGGGACTCGGAGTAGAGCCGCTGCTTCTCCACGTCGAGAGGAGCCAGTTGAGGTGGCTCAGGCACCTGGTTAGGATGCCTCCTGAACGCCTCCCTGGTGAGGTGTTCCGGACACGTCCCACCGGGAGGAGACCCAGAGGAAGACCCAGGACACACTGGAGGGACTATGTTTCTCAGCTGGCCTGGGAACGCCTTTGGATTCCCCTGAAGGAGCTGGACCAAGTGGCTGGGGAGAGAGAAGTCTGGGCCTCCCTACTTAGGCTGCTACCCCCGCGACCCAACTCCGGATTAGCGGAAGAAAATGGATGGATGGATGGATGGATGGATGGATGGATGGATCCAACTATGATTTCTGTGGGGTTTTGTTTTTTGTTAATCACGAAATTTATTGTTATCATTAGAATGCACTGAAATATCATGATATAATCTAAAAAAGTTAAATCTGGTCCTCTGGACATTAAAAAAAAACAAAAAACAAAGCAAATCAACAAAAAAATGTAGAAACGTTTCGTCTCTCATCCGAGAGACTTCTTCAGTCTGAGGTGCTGTATTCAGCTCAGTCTCTTAAATAGCACCTTCTCAGGGTGGATCAACCAGTTTTCTGCTGACAACCAAAACCAGCTGATCACATGATCAAGAAGGACCATCAGCCTAACAATGGATCATTAGCACCTGATGGCTGTTTACTGTTCACAGAGGGCTGAGTGATACTAGCAATCACAGCATTGTAAGAGGGGGACAGTTGAACCCGGAGGCCTCCGCCCCCGTTTAATGATGGACGATTTCTTTTCACAAAGATGGCCTCCTTTACTCCTCTCTCAAACCATCGTTCCTCTCTGTCCAGGATGTGAATATCTTCATCCCTGAAAGAGTGACCACTGGCCTGGAGATGAGTGTAGACCGCAGAATCCTGGCCTGATGATGTTGATCTTCTGTGCTGGGCCATCCTTTTGGCCAGTGGCTGTTTTGTTTCCCTGATGTAAGACTGATCACCCTCCTGACACTGAACAGCATACACAACATTACTCTGTCTGGGACTGGATCTTTGGGATGAACCAGTCTTTGCCGTAATGTATTTTGGGGTTTAAAAGCCACTGGGACGTTATGTTTAGAAAATAAACGTCTCAGTTTCTCTGATACTCCCTCAACATATGGAATGACCACTGGTCTGGGTCTGGGTTCCTCCTTTTCACCTG